GGGTAGGTGGTGGACCCAAGATACGTTGTTCGGAGGTGGGTAGGGGGGGCGGAGACAAGGAGTGACTCGGGGGGTGGGGGGGAGATCTTGCACCTATTCTCTGAAAAGAAGCCCTTTCTATATATACATGTGCTGCTCATACTCTGTAAATGGAAGTTCCTGTAGATGAGCCGCGGTGGGGACCAAACACCCCAATAAAAAACGGTATTTTATACTATTTTCCAATTTTCGGTAAAAGGATGTGAAGAATTATGAGGTTTGTTGAAGTTGGATCATTTAGCGATACGAGAAATTTTGGGATGCCCTCAGAAACATTTTGAATTGAAGTTCAAAGCAGTTTATCTGCTTCACCATCTACATTTCCAAAATATGAGGTGCGGACAGTAGAGCCCGAATGTTGACCTTCTAGACCCGCCTTTTGGAACCTTTTTTTTTACTCCCGTTGAACCCTTTGAAAAAACGTTGAGGTCTGTTAAAAACAATTTATTGGTGGCCAGTGAGAAGAATGCTATTAAAAACAGATTTTAAAAATGTGCCTCCTGTGGGCGGGGCTCAACACCCAATACGAGGACCCTCAGAACTGCCCTGGGAACATGGACACGGGGCCACGGGCATATGGAGGTCAGCAATAAAGCAGCACCCCAAGTCGGAATCGAGCCGTTCGCTTTGCCCAGTTCCATTTGTTATACTTAGCTGCTTCTTGGTTTAGGCCCTTTTCCCACGGCACTGTACACCCTTCCTTCCAATGACTGCAGCAGTTCCGAAGGGGTGGACTATGTCCCGCTCACCAGCACAGCCATGATTATCACCTCACTCCCCGTGGCAATGTGCGTTCCCGCCACTCATACACAGCGCAGACCAGGGCCGGGACAAGGGGTGGGCAGGAGGGATGGCCACCCTGGGCGCAGTGGTTTACTGTATGGATGGGGGCACCAGTGAGCTCATTCTGATAAAAGGCAGTTTGACAAGCGGATGACTTCAGGGGGTAGCAGCCCCTAAGCTTGCACAAAATTAAGGGGGGGGGGGCACAGTTTGGCTTCTTTGCCCTGGACACTGGATGACCTCATCCCAGCACTAGCGCAAACCTCTCTTCCGAACGAGCTGTACACTTGATTTGGACCCACTCCCTGTCTCTTGATCCTGTACCTAAGCTCTTAGGTTCCCCCCCCCCCATGACACGACATTGGTCCCAATATGTGGGGTAGGTGGCTCAACCCTAGGCTTCCATGGGACCCTGTTTGAGAAACCCTGCTCTATAAAAACCTTAGACTTCCATGGGACTCTGGTTGAGAAACCCTGCTCCCGTACCTAAGCTCTTAGGTCCCCCCCCGTGACACAACATTGGTCCCGATATGTGGGGTACCAACCTCTAGGGAGGCGGTAAGCTTAGCAACCCCTTCACTACCGGGGTGACCTTCTCCCATGCCAGGTACCCAGCTTTCCACTTGCTGGCTGCTCTCCCATTCACAACACTTTGCTGGTTTCCCGTTTGCAATGGCAATATGGCCGCATCCCCTACCAACTCAACTGCACGTTTAACCCTTTCATGGTGGCATTTTTTTATCTCCTCTTCATCCCCTCATTATACAAGCCCTGTATGCGATATGCCATGCATGCACCCCTCTTTCAGAAGAACCCCTAGGCTTCCATGGAACCGTGGTTGAGAAACCCTGCTCTATAGAAACCTTAGGCTTCAATGGGACTCTGGCTGAGAAACCCTGCTCTATAGAAACCTTAGGCTTCCATGATGGGACTCTGGTTGAGAAACCCTGTTCTAAAGAAACCTTAGGCTTCCATGGGACCCTGGTTGAGAAACCCTGCTCCATAGAAACCTTAGGCTTCCATGGGACTAGGCTTCCATGATGTTGAGAAACCCTGCTCTCATAGAAACCTTAGGCTGAGAAACCCTGCTCCATGGGACTTCCATGGGACTGGTTGAGAAACCCTGCTTCCTATAGAAACCTTAGGACTTCCATGGGACCCTGGTTGAGAAACCCTGCTCTATTGAAACCTTAGGCTTCAATGGGACTCTGGCTGAGAAACCCTGCTCTATAGAAAACCTTAGGCTTCCATGAATGGGACTCTGGTTGAGAAACCCTGCTCCTATAGAAACCTTAGGCTTCCATGGGACCTCTTGTTGAGAAACCCTGCTCCATAGAAACCTTAGGCTTCCATGGGACTCTTGTTGAGCTCCATAGAAACCCTTGCTCCATATAGAAACCTTAGAAACCTTCCATGGGACTCTGGTTCAGAAACCCTGCTCCTATAGAAACCTTAGGCTTCCATGGGACCCATGGTTGAGAAACCCTGCTCTATAGAAACCTTAGGCTTCCATGGGACCCTGGTTGAGTTTGCTCATAGAAACCTTAGGTTTCCATGGGACCCTGTTGAGAAACCCTGCTCTATAGAACCTTAGGCTTCAATGGGACTCTGGTTGAGAAACCATGCTCTATAGAAAACCTTAGGCTTCCATGATGGGACTCTGGTTTTGAGAAACCCTGTTCTAAAGAAACCTTAGGCTTCCATGGGACTCTTGGTTGAGAAACCCTGCTTTATAGAAACCTTAGGCTTCCATGGGACTCTGGTTGAGAAACCCTGTTCTATAGAATACCTTAGGCTTCCATGGGACCCTGGTTTGAGAAACCCTGTTCTCTAGAAAGAAACCTTAGGCTTCCATGGGACTCTTGTTGAGAAACCCTGCTTATAGAAACCTTAGGCTTTTCCATGGGACCCTGGTTAGAGATTGGCTTCTCTCTCAGATTCATCCATCGTCTACTCCATAGTCTACTGAACATCCTGGAGAATTCAACACAGTGATGTTACTCTTATCCTGAATGGCCCAGCAATCCTAATTTTATACAGTGTGAGGACACCTAATACATAAAAATGAAAAAACAGCAGCAACACTTGATTCTCTCCCAGATATCGCGAGCCAAAGAGTCTAGTGATTGTGCCACCATTTTAGATCATCTACAGTGAGCCCATTTCCTTTGAATCTGGACCTTCTGTACATAATTCCTGTGACTCCTGTATATCCACTACACAGGTCATCAGCGAACCCCCCTCCTGGATTTCTATATTCACAGGTAGGTAGTTTTCTGCCCATTACGAACTCTACCAACCTAAAGAGTTGAAGCGCGGTCACACTTCCTGGATTTTTATTGGCCCTTTAGCACAGTGGTAATGAATTAAAATCATGGAGATCCACCAGTAAAATTTTCTCACCCACCCCTCCGACAGAAGTCCGAACCACATTTTTATTTTCAGGCCCTCGCCTACTGTATATCACAAATCCCTATACTTCAGTGTCCTCAGGATCCGTCCCCCCCCCCCCATATGTCACTGTTCCCCCCAACGCCACAATAAATTTCACCTTCACAGTAGTGTTCTCAGGTCCCCTGCACATCACCCTAACCCACCCCTTTAGTGTACATTACACAACCCCCTTCACATCACTCCCCTTAAACCCCCCATTATTTTCAGCAATTTAACCTCCTTCAAATCAACCACCCCACCCCACACTACTGTCCTCTGCCGACTTCCACATCTCTCCCCCGCTGTACTGTCGCCTCTGCCCCCCCAGAACTGTGCTCCCCTTCACATCCCCCCATGGGACACTACCCCCCTTTCACAATCTCTCCCCACAGCATTGTGCCCCCACCACATGTATCTTAACTGCACTTGTCCCCACCCCCTCACATCACAAAATCCCCCCCCCAACCAGTAGTGTTCTCTGCCCTTTTCGCATCAAACCCCCCCCCCCCCCCCACACAGCACTCGCCCCTCTTCACATACCCCCCCCCCCCAGTAGTATACTCTGCCCTCTCACATGAAGCCCAGCCCCCACTTCACATCCCTAACCCCACAGTACTGCCCTCCTCCCCCTATCACATCCCCCCACCACAACACTGCCCCCCTTTTTACTCTCCCCTTCCACAGCATTGCTCCCCCCTCGCATCACAAATTTTCCTCCCCCCCCACAGCGAGTAGGTGTTCTCATGCCCTCCTCATATCAACCCCCTCTCTCCTCTTAAAATCATCACCCCATCCTAGCACTGCCCCCTTAATATACACTTCACTCCCCCCCCCCACCAATACACCACCACATGTACAAGGCTTTACTGCCCCTCCTTCAACATTTGCCCCCCCCCCTATACATCACACACAGCCAGAATCAGTGCCCCCGGCCCTTCCTTAATTCTCCTACCAAAGATCGGGGAGAGCGGGAGGTGGGAGCATATTCTGATCAAATTCGGGAAAAGCTCAGCGCAGGCATTGAATGGAGCGCGGGAGCTGATTGGGATAACTTAGAGTATTATTAACCAGCAGATGATTGGCATGCTAGGACAGCCCTGCGACAATCCAGCTCCGCTGGGTAAAACCTAATACCTTCAATAGCATAAAATTCCCCTGGTCATGACTAAACACATCTGGAGGTCAAGTGGTTACAAAATAATTTTCAGGTGACCCATATTATAATAACATATTATTATTTGTCTAGTACAGTAGGTCTCCAAACTGTGGCCTCTTGGGGCAGTAATGTTAGCCCAATCCTTCACTTGCTTTTAACCTGGCCCTTGGGCCTTATTATCCCCCACTGCCAGCAACAGTGGGGCATAGTCCTGACACTGACATCGAGGCACTATTCCTCCCATGAACACCAATGATGGGGCATTATTCCTCCCACTACAACACCAATGATTGGGGCACTATTCCCCATGACACCAATGATATGCATCTGCCCACCTAATTTTAGACTCCCATTGACACAATGATTGGGGAACACTCATTAACTCTCTTTATCATGACATGATGACACCAATGATGGGGCACTATTCCTACCCCACTGACACCAATATGGGGCACTATTCCTCATACTGACACCAACGATGGGGCACTATTTCCTCCCACATGATACCAACGATGGGGCACTAATTCCTCCCACTGACACCAACGGATGGGGACATTATTCCTGCCCTACTGACACAACGATGGGTTAACTATTCCTCCCACTGACACCAACGATGGGGCACTATTACTCCCCACTGACACCAACGATGGGGCACTATATTCCTCCCACTGACACCAACGATGGGACACAATTATTCCTCCCAACTGACACCAATGATGGACACTATTCCTCCCAACTGACACCAACGATGGGGCACTAATTCCTCCCACTGACACCAATGATGGGGCACTATTCCTCCCAAACTGACACCAACGATGGGGTACTATTCCTCCCACTGACACCAATGATGCTGGGGCACTATTCCTCCCACATGACACCAATGATGGGCACTAGGTTTCCTCCCACTGACACCAATGTTGGGCATTTTATTCCTCCCACTGACACCAATGTAAGTTTGGGCACTAAATTCCTTCCCACTGACCACAATGATGGGCAGCTAAGTTATTCCTCCCACTGACACCAATGATGGGGCACTATTCCTCCACTGACACCAATGATGGGGCATTAGTTCTCCCACTGACACCAATGATGGTGCACTATTCCTTCACTGATACCAATGATGGGTCGAGGACTATTCCTTCCACTGACACCAATGATGGGGCACTACATTCCTCTCCAATTACATCAACAATGTATGGGACACTATTCCTCCCACTGACATACCAATGTAATGGGGCACTACAGTTTTAAAAGTGAACACCTTGTGAGCTTACATATGAAATGAGGTGTTCAAATATAGTATCATTATTAATATAATAATAAATAAACTACCTAAATATTGTAGAGAGGAGACGGTGGAAGTGGCACACACCAATGTAAACATAGCACTATATTCCCTCCCACTGCACCAATGATAAGCACTATTCCTCATTACACTGACACAATGTCGTAAAGCTTTAATGGCAATTTCTTCCACTGGACACAAGTGGCACCTTAGTAAAGGCTTTTAAAACCGTCGTACCTATTGAATAGGGATAGTTAAAATGTATGTTGTTTGTTGTTATTGCACGGGTGTGCACAATTTTAAAGCATGACATGTTTGGTATCTATTTTACTTGGCGTAACACCATCTTTTATATTTTAACAAAAAATTGATGTCATGTATTGGTGTGGTGGGGGGTTTGGGGGTTGGATTGAAATGAAAAAAAGTTTATTTTTTTCTCCAAAAATTGCATTTGAAAAACCGCTGCTCCAATACTGTGTGACCTGAAAAAAAAAATGCAAACCCACCCAAACTTATTCTCTAGGGGCCTCTGCTTAAAAAAAAGAGAGAGAGAAGGGGGAAGAGATAGAGGAATGAGATAGGGGGAAGAGAGAGAGAAAGGGAGAGATCGAGAGAGAGGGCGGAAAGTGAGGGGGGGAGAGAGAGAAAGGGAGAGGAGAGAGAGAGAGGGGAGATATGGGGGGGTGTAGGGAGAGGTGAGTGAGAGAGAGGAGAGGAGAGAGAGAGAGAGGGGGGGAGGGGGTGAAGAGGAGGAGAGGGAAAGAGAGAGGAAGAGGTGAGAGAGAGATGGGGGGAGAATGGGGAGGGGAGAGGGGGAGAGAGAAGGGGGGAGATGATCGGAGTGTGATGGAGAGTGGGGGAGGGGGGGTGAGAGAGAGGGGGGAAAAGAGAATGAGAGGGGGGGAGAGGTGAGAGAGAGAGGAGAAGAGAGGGGGGAGGGGTGGAGAGGAGGGAAGAGAGAGATGGAGGGGGAGAGGGGTGAGGGGGGAAGATAGAGGAGAGGGAGGGGGAGAATTAGAGAGGATAGGGAAGGGGGGGGGGAGGGGGGGGGGAGGGTGTGTGTGGGAAAGAGGAGAGGGGGGAGAGAGAAGAGAGGGGGGGAGGGGTGGGCGGGGGAGATGGGGAGAGGGGGGGTGAGTAGTGGAGGGGGGGGGGAATAGGGAGAGGGGGACGAGAAAGGAGAGGAGGGAAGAGAGAGAGGAGGAAAGAGAGAGAGGGAGATCGAGAGAGGAGGAGAGGATAGAGAGAGGGGAAGAGAGAGAGGGGGAAGAGAGAGAGGGGGAAAGAGAGAGGATAGGGAGGGGGAAAGATAGAGAGGGGGATAGGGAGGGGGGGAAGATAGAGAGAGGAGGATTGCTGCATCTTAAAATTTGTAATCTGAACAGTCAGTGTTGAACAATACAATAATATATACATTTCTCTATCTATCCAGGTATATACTGTATATGTATAATAAATGATATACAATGTTACTTTGTTGCATGAAGGGGGAGATGCTGTGAAGTGAACACAAATCTTGATTGTATTGGCTCTCCATTGATCGGATACAATGGATCCATACTGCTGTCTATATACTGTATATATAATGTATCTTTTTTGAATTCCTTGTTGGTATTTTCCAATCGGCAGGCGGTGACTTTATTCCGGTACAATCCTGGCAGTTGTCCCCCAGCTGTGTCGGGGGGGGCGGTGGGTTCAGCTCTGGAGCTGGGGATGTGTGTGGATTGGTGCTCCCCAGGGGGGCTCCAATTGGCAGTGTTGGGGGCTATGCTGGAATCCACTCTATTATTGCATAACAAGTCTCTCTTCAGAGGGGAGACCAATGCAGTTTGACTCCCGTATGACCCCGAGGCTTTCTTCTCTCCTCCTGATGAATGCATACAATAACACCAGCTGTCTGTTCCTCCCAAATCTGACTGAGGAGGAAGAAAGCGGCTGATTACTCCAATCCCAGTCATTAAAGGGGGAAATGTGTTTTTAGGGCTGTCAGAGTGATTAATGAGGGTCAGCAATGCTTGAAAAAAAAAGTGTGTGTCTGTTTAGTCTAAGTGGCAGGCAGACTTTCCTATTGATTTATTGCAGCAGTTGGTGTCCCTGTGCTGTGTAGTCGATGTGTAGTGTGTGTGTGTGTGTGTCAGGGCGGACGATTTAACCCCTTCCCTGCGCCGCGGCGTCGGGAACGCACATCTGTGCGCGCGCTCCAGAGCCTTCAATTGCCGCCTCTATGTACGGCAGTGCGCAAGCGTGCAATGTCAATGGCTGCACTGTGAGGACGGCGAGGGGATGATTTTACTAAAAGCAAACAGGCAGTTCAGTTTGCAGGGGGAATCAACCCGCACCCCCCCGGAGCGAATGAGGGGACGCTCCGCCGACTTCCATCATCCCGTCATGTACCCCAGTAAAAATTATGCTTTTTATTTTCCTTGCGTGCGATTGGGTATTCATTGCAAAGCAAATTTTTCACCGCGTTCAGTACAGTGTTACTAGACTCCCAACCAGGGGTGGACTGACAACTCATGGGGCCCCCGGGCAATAGGGGGATCATGGGGGCCCCTGTGTCCTTGCCCAAACTCAAAAAAGCCTATGAAAAAGGTACCGGGGGCATCTCATGGGGCCCCCTAACTGACCCGGGCCTGGGCAGTGCCCGAGTTTCCAATGGTCAGTCCGCCCCTGCCCCAACAGTACAATCAGTCTGTAGATTGAGGAAAGCACGCTTGTTATACTCACTGTGGAAACCTAAGGGGTTAAATCCTCACGCATTATGTAAAAGGCTGGCTGTTTGATCCTGTCTCCTCTGATCATCCCCTTCTACTACTGTCCCCAATCCATCTGCTGATAGTACAGAGCCCTAAGAGTCACTCTGCACATGCTCAGTTTGGTGTGTATTGCTAGAGAGGTTTTTCTTGTGAGGATGCATGTAATCAGCACAGGGTCAGGGGTTATGCATCCTCCCATAGGACCAATCAGAGGAGAATGGAAAACTCCTCCTACAAGATTAACCTGAGCTTGGCTGGAACACTGATAGAAGTTCAAGGCTACTGCTATACTTCTGATCTGAAATGGGATTTATCAGTCTTTATATGTACTAAAGCATAATTGCATCTTTAGGCCATTTCTGTGTGGAATCTGTGGGTTAATCCGAATGCTGCATATGTGAGTACATGCAGTGGGTCCGGCGGAGAAGGCGCGAGTTGATCTGTGAATGCGGCGGGTCCTCCGGGCGACGAGCGAATTCAGTGACATGCGGGGTCACGGCTGATAGCGGACTAAACTGAATTGCGGGGTAACCGGCGGACGAGCGGACCTGGGGATATAGTGACCCATGCGGGGTCCAAAAATCCTTCTACAAGCTTTGACCAGTGATTTTACTGCTATGCGGGTCACAAGTATGCTCTAAATGCTGGGGAGAGCGAATATAGTGTATGGCGGGTTATTTTTATTTACTAATTTCTGATGAATGACATTTCCGGTCCCACCCCCCCCCTGTCCCGGCGAGAGCAAAGCATATAGTGAATGCAGCGTTCCGGGGATGAGCGGAATATATGTGAATCGCCAGGCGTCCTGGCGAGACCGATATTGTGTATGCAGGGTCCGAGGGAGACCGGATATAGTGAAATTGCTGGGTTTCCGTGGGGAGACCGCCCGATTATAGTTGAATGCTGGGCACGGTGCCTCCTGGATGATTTAGTGAATGAAGGACCTCGGGGTCCAGACCGGTGATTCTTCTTGTGATTGCGGGGCGCCCGGGGACGCACCGGATATAGTGAATGCAGGGCCCCAATATGGGGAGTCCCGGAATAATAGTTGAATGCCGGGCCCGGATGGGGCCGGATTTAGTGAATGCAGGTGTCCTCGAGGTGAAGGCGGTTTTTGTGACTCGCGCGGGGTCCGGGCGGGACGAGCGGGGTTTTAGTGAATGCGCGTGTCCGGGAGGTGAGCGGGTGGTATATTGTGACAGTATGCGTGGTCGGGGTGAGAGGGATATTGTGAATTGCGGGGTTCCGGGGAGAGCGATTAGTGAATGCGGGTCCGGGGAGAGCGGATATAGTGAATGCGGGTCGGGGAGAGCGGATAGTGAATGCGGGTCCGGGGAGAGCGGATATAGTGAATGGGGGTCCGGGGAGAGCGGATATAGTGAATGCGGGGTCCGGGGAGAGCGGATATAGTGAATGCGGGGTCCGGGGAGAGCGGATATAGTGAATGCGGGTCCGGGGAGAGCGGATATAGTGAATGCGGGGTCCGGGGAGAGCGGATATAGTGAATGCGGGTCCGGGGAGAGCGGATATAGTGAATGCGGGGTCCGGGGAGAGGGGATATAGTGAATGCGGGTCCGGGGAGAGCGGATATATTGAATGCGGGTCGGGGAGAGCGGATATAGTGAATGCGGGGTCCGGGGAGAGCGGATATAGTGAATGCGGGGTCCGGGGAGAGCGGATATAGTGAATGCGGGGTCCGGGGAGAGCGGATATAGTGAATGCGGGGTCCGGGGAGAGCGGATATAGTGAATGCGGGGTCCGGGGAGAGCGGATATAGTGAATGCGGGGTCGGGGAGAGCGGATATAGTGAATGCGGGGTCCGGGGAGAGCGGATTATAGTGAATGCGGGGTCCGGGGAGAGCCGGATATAGTGAATGCGGGGTCCGGGGAGAGCGGATATAGTGAATGCGGGGTCCGGGGAGAGCGGATATAGTGAATGCGGGGTCCGGGGAGAGCGGATATAGTGAATGCGGGGTCCGGGGGAGAGCGGATTATAGTGAATGCGGGGTCCGGGGGAGAGCGGATATAGTGAATGCGGGGTCCGGGGAGAGCGGATATAGTGAATGCGGGGTCCGGGGAGAGCGGATATAGTGAATGCGGGGTCCGGGGAGAGCGGATATAGTGAATGCGGGGTCCGGGGAGACGGATATAGTGAATGCGGGGTCCGGGGAGAGAGCGGATATTAGTGAATGCGGGGT